GGAGGCCAAGGCAAGAGAATCCCATAAGCCCAAGAGTTAGAGGTTGCTGTGAGCTGTGACGCCATGACACTCTACCCAGGGCGACATAGTGAGACTGTCTTAAAAGAAAAAAAAAAAAAAAGATACATACAGTCTTTAAAGAATTATGCATCCTTTAGCTCTTTCCTTGTTAGTGTATAAACTGTTGAATAATATAGCATTCTATGGATGTACCATAGTTTAATAATTTTCTTATTAATGGGCATTATTAAGCTGTTTCTCTAGTGTTTTGCTTTTATAAATGGTACTGCAGTCAGCTTCACATGTACTTCTTTGGATACAGGGCTACTTTTTCCACTAAGTTAGCTACCTAGAAATGGAATTGTCTGGTTGAAAAGTCTTTGTATTTAGAGTATTAGGATCAATAAAGTGAAGTAATTTGTGGACATCATAGAATTGCATACTTTTCCATTTGTTAGGTAGGGGCTTATATTTCTGGGTACAGTGGCTTATGCCTCTAATCCCAGCACTTTGGGAGGCTGAAATAGGATTGCTTGAGACCAGGGGTTCAGGACCAGCCTGGGCAAGATCTCATCTCTAAAAAACCCATCTTTTTAATTAGCTGGGCATGATGGCAGTCATCTGTAGTCCTTGCTACGCAGGAAGCCGAGGTGGGAGGATCCCTTGAACCCCAAAATTCAAGGTTAGTGATCAATGATCATACCACTGCACTTTAGCCTGGGTGTTGAACCAAGACCCTGTATCTAGTACTAGCTCAGCTAGACTCAGGCAGGACAGAGTACAAGAGCTAAAAATCAAGGGTTCTGGGGCCAGGGAATTTGTGCTTAAATCCATTCTCTACTTTTGACTGGATAGGTGTGCTTTTTAACCTCTCCAAGTCCTATTTTCCTCATCTATAAAATGGAAATAGAAATAGTATTCACAAATGTTTGGGAGAATTAATTGTGACGCTGTATGTAAGTTGCCCAGTATAGTTTCTAACCCTTAGAAAGCATTCCCTAAGGCCAGGTAATGTGGCTCACGCCTGTAATCCCAGTACTCTGGGAGGCCGAGGCTGGTGATTGCCTAAGCTCACAAGTTCAAGACCAGCTTCAGCTAGAGTGAGACCCCATCTCTAAAAATAGCTGGGTGTTGTGGCAGGCTCTTGTAAGTCCTAGCTACTCAGGAAGCTGAGGCAAGATAGTCACTTGAGCCCAAGAGTTTGAGGTTGCTGTGAACTGTGACACCCTAGAACTCTACCAGGGTGACAAAGTGAGACTCTGTCTCAAAAAAAATAAAAAAGCATTCACTAAATGTTGGCTGTGCTTATGACATGATCATCAGTGCAGTTAGCCCTTCTACTACTTCTACTCAAACACTGTGCTCTGTGTTTGGGTTAAAAAGATAAATAGTCAGGCGGCACTTTTGGCTCAAAAGGGTAGGGCACAGGCCCCATATGCCAGAGGTGGTAGGTTCAAACCCACCCCCCACCAAAAAGAAAAAAAGATGAATAGTCTGTGTCCTTTAGGAAGTGTAAGTTGGAGAGTTTAGCACTTAAACAACTAGCTGTAATTAGTATTAATGGAAGTATTAATAAAGTGCACTGGGAATAAGTCTAGGCATCATACAAGAAGAGGTCTTATATTAAAGAGGCCTTGAAGTTTGGAGAGGGAGTAGGGGAGGGTATTGCCACAAGAAAAGCGGTAGAAACAAGGAAATGCTCCTAAGTTATACTGAGGATGGTATGTTTGTGGTCTGGATCTCCATAGACCAGTGCAGATAGAGCTTTAAGAGCAAGGATAGATAGGAATTGTATTGAGTGGAATATGAAATTATAACTATACAATTAGTATATCATTGTGTTTGGATATCAGAAACCCTTAGCCTATGGAAGAACTCAAGAAGACAAGAACTGTAATTTAGGATTTAGATGGAAATCTAGAGAAGATATGGGAGATATAATGTTGAATTCTGGTGTATCTTAAAACAGTGTTTGGAGGAGTCCTTGAGAATTCTTTGAATTATCTGAATGTTGATTTCTGGCATTGGTATTTATAATGGAGCAAGATCCTTCTGACTGGAAGGGATACTTGGAACACCTCTCATTGCAGTATCATCTAAAAGAATGCCAGTATTCTCACTGATTGGGGAAGCGGGGTGAGAAGAGACAGAGGAAGATGACTTATACAATTAAAAGAGGATCAGATGGATAATAAAAAAAGATTAATAAAAATAAATTTAAAAAAAAAAAGAGGATCAAATGGTACAAAGAATTTTGCCCTGCCAAAATTGTACACAAACAAAATGTTTCATGAAAACAGGTACAATGAAAGTTTTCTGATTCTTTAAAGCAGTGCTGCTGAGAATGTGCAACTCTCAGAAGCCAATAGATTCCCAGAGACCAGGACAAGATGTTTTACCTAAAAGACAAATTGTATATTGGGCTGTAGGACTCATGAAACCCTTGCCTATTTCAGACGCTGACCGGAAAGGAGATTGAGATTGACATTGAGCCCACAGACAAGGTGATGTATACCCACACCTCTTATTGCTCTTCTCCTTGCTATATACATTTGAGTATGCTTACAAACTCGGTCCTTTTGCTTTCCTGGTATCTACATACCCCTTGTTCTTTCCATTTCCATGGTCCTACCCCTAAAGCAGTCCAACTACTTGTCCCTCTAAAGGTGGAGCGAATCAAGGAGCGTGTAGAGGAAAAAGAAGGAATCCCCCCACAACAGCAGCGGCTCATCTATAGTGGCAAACAGATGTGAGTTTAGAGTGAGAATGAGAGCATGGCAATGTTGTGTGAAGATGAAAAGGGGCAAGTTCTGGAGGTGGTTTAGATCTGCCTATTCCTTGTGGTACCTTGGACTCTTTGGTAATGTGGTGAAAACTCTAGGCCCCTCCTCAGAGTGAGTTTTTTTCAGGTATAAAATTAAATACATAGAACTACAAAGGAAACTAATTATCAAATTAGTTATCAGATTATCAAATTTAAATATCATTATCAAAATACTGAAACAAATTTGTGATACAGTAATATATGCTTCCTTATAATAAATGAGATCTAACAGCGCGTCTAATAACTACCATAATTTTGAAACATTTTCAAGTTACCTATAAACACTTATAACATGAATATGATCTAATTTCCATTGTTAATAAGTTACTCATATTACTAATACTACTGTGGTTTTTTGCCTGTGTTTAAAATTTAAAGAAATACTAAATTTCAGTTAGGGGGATAGTAAAACTAAAGATGGAATTTTTTTCTGACCTTCATAGGCCCTCAAAGAGATCCATGAAATACCCTGATGGTATTTTAAATTTTTTTTCTCTTTCTTTTCTTGCAGGAATGATGAAAAGACAGCAGCTGATTACAAAATCTTAGGTGGTTCAGTCCTCCACCTGGTGTTGGCTCTGAGAGGAGGAGATGGTCTTAGGCAGTGATAGGCCCTCACTCCATTTCACCTCCTTACCCTGTCTCTCATAATGAGGCATCATATATCCTCTTACTTTCTGGGACACCAGAGCCACCACCCCCTCCCCTGGATGCCTAGTGTTGTGTGTCTACTGGTGGGAGACTATGAGGACCCCAGGATGCAGTGTTCCTGGCCCCCAGCGCCCTTTCTGGCTATTGGGTTTTAGTTTGCAGTCATGTGTGTTTCCCTCTCTTATGGCTATGTCCCTGGTTGTCAATAAAATATTTCTTGGCCTCCTGGAATCTTTATTTTATTGTACAAATGTGACAAATCTAAATGGGTCCATTGTTCACTCAGTTATACTGGGCTGAAGGAGTAGGACAGTGGAAGTGATGTTGCTCATCTAAGGATTATCAGACTCTAGAAAAGCCTAATTCCAGTTGTGTGATGGAGCCAGTTCATACCAATTGCTGGCATCTCTTCCCAACTCCATGTTAAGTGACTTTGTGTTAGTAGCTTGGAATTGGCCATGATAGGAGTTTTTTTTGTTTGTTTTTTTGTTTGTTTGTTTGTTTTGAGACAGAGCCTCAAGCTGTCCCCCTGGGTAGAGTGCCATGGCATTACAGCTCACAGCAACCTCCAACTCCTGGGCTTAAGCGAGTCTCCTGCCTCCGCCTCCCAAGTAGCTGGGACCACAGGCGCCCGCCACAACGCCCGGCTATTTTTTGGTTGCAGTCGTTGTTTGGCGGGTCCGGGCTGGGGATTCGAACCCGCCACCTTAGGTGTTCGTGGCTGGCGCCTTAGCCGGTTGAGCTATAGGTGCCGAGCCCATGATAGGAGTATTTACAGAAATTGTTAAATACTATAAATCAGTTCCTCCCAGCAAACTGCATGTTACACATCTACCAGCATACTACTAATGTGGGTGGTTAGAAACCGGGAGAGGAATTCCCGCCCATGGTGGCTTTATTGGACATTTGGCCCCCATTGGAGAAAGGCCTCAGAGGCTTAGCAGATGCGACATTCTTCATGCTGGCATATTGCTGAGAGCTCTGGGTTCTACACTTCCAAGAGGCTGGTATAGAGAAAGACTGAGGAGTCTGACTTGATAAGAGGTGCTAGAAGAAAAGGCCCTCCTTCCTTGGCTTCTCTAGTGTATTAGAATATGGCACGGGGTGGTGCCTGTGGCTCAGTGAGTAGGGTGTCAGCCCCATATACCAAGGGTGGTGAGTTCAAACCCAGCCCTGGCCAAACTGCAACAACAAAAAATTTAAAAAAAGAAAAAAAAGAATATGGCACGGCTGGGTGGCGTGGAGAAGCAAGGGAGGATGCCTTGGAGAGGCTTGACCCTTGTGGTTCTACGTGCGTCGCTTTGGTTCTTTGCTGCAGTCCTCTCCCCCGCCCAGCATCAGAAGGCGCTACTGCGTGACAGCCAGGACCGTTCCTGAAGCCTGGTGTGGCGACGCTCTAGTCGACCTTTCTCTATGGCACTCCTTAACCGCCGGAGTTGCTGGGCTCTCTAAGGCTCAGGAAAAAACTCCACCTCGGGGTACAAATCCTGCCAGCGCTGGTCATGGTTCCACTCCCAAGACTAGCAGTCTTTGATCTGGGTAAGGCACGGGGCAGAGCTTCGTAGGGCGCCTTCCCTTTCCACACCCCAGCTGCAGCTGTCTAGTCCCTCATGCCTCCTGAGGCTGAACCTTCCTGTTTTTCCCTTCGGCAGATTACACACTCTGGCCTTTCTGGGTCGACACGCACGTAGATCCTCCGTTCCACAAGAGCAGGTGAGGCAGGAATAGGGAGGACTGGGGCCAGGAAAGGCAGGGTTAGGGAGGCGTGGCCTGGTCCGGCCTGAGCGCACCCTCGCTTCTCCAGTGATGGAACCGTTCGAGATAGGCGGAACAAGCACGTCCGACTGTACCCAGAGGTTCCCGAGGTACTGGAACGATTGCAGCGCCTTGGGGTGCCCGGTGCGGCCGCTTCACGGTAAGCAGAGCTACTAACAAAAGCTGTCAGCGTAATGCTGAAGGATGCATGCGTGATGAGACTTCTCGTGAATTCTGCAGGCTCCAGAATTTTAGAAGGTGCAGATTTGCAAGTGTTTGTACATTTATTCATTGTACTGTTTCCTGTATTTTTTTTTTTTTTTTGAGATAGAGTCTCACTCTGCCGCCAAGCTAGAGTGCCATGGCCTCATAGCTTACAGCAACCTCAAACTCCTGGGTTCAAGCAACCCTCCTGCCTTGGCCTCCCAAGTAGCTGGGACTTCAGGTGCCCACTACAACCCCAAGCTAATTTTTCTGTTTTTAATACGAGGGTTCGCTCTTGGTCAGGCTGGTCTCCAACTCTTGAACTCAAGAGAGCTTCTGGCCTTGGCCTCCCAGAGTGCTAGGATTACAGGCCTAAGCCAGTGTCTGGCCTCTCCTGTACCTTTTAATTATTAAACATTGGCTCAGCACCGGCTTTGTCAGGCAGGCTATGGAGTTGAATAAAGGCCAAGATGCCTATCCATCCTGAAAAAACAGCAAGTTGATTTCTCCCTGATTATATACTTCACTCGTGGTCCAGTCCTTCACTTTCCTAATCCCATCTACTACACCTTTTTGCAGGACAGGTGAGATAGAAGGAGCCAACCAACTACTGGAGCTCTTTGACCTTGTCAAATACTTTGCTCATCGGGAAATCTATCCAGGCAGTAAGGTCACACACTTTGAAAGGTATGTGGAGATAAGGTAGGAGCAGGGAAAGAGCACCAGAGAGGCTTGAGGAACCACGATGCCAGCTTGGCTACCCCTGCCCCATCTTGCACAGGTTGCAGCAGAAGACTGGAGTTCCTTTCTCCCAGATGATCTTCTTTGATGACGAGAGGCGGAATATTGTGGATGTCAGCAAACTGGGTACTGAGGGGTTTGGGAAAGCCATTTGGGGAATGAGGAGAAAGGGTTCCTTCCTAGGAGGGTTAGGTAGACATATACAGGGTGGATAACCTGCATGATAGGTGGCACCAACAAAAAGTGAGAGTAATAAAGAAGAGCCCTGAATGTCTGATGAAATGTGACTTTTTTTCCTTCTAGGTGTTACCTGCATTCATGTCCAGAATGGAATGAATCTTCAAACCCTAACTCAAGGGTTAGAGACATTTGCAAAGGCTCATACTAGGCCTTGAGGTCCAGCCTGGTGAATGAACCTCACTTAAGGCCTAACACTGAAAAGAAATCAAGACAGCATTTTCAGGTGCATTTGTAGTTTATTAAATTGTATTTGTGTGTGACAGAAGAGATCTTACCCACAGTGCGGATGGTTTCTATTTTTCTAGCCTGTGAACTGGTTCGGCTGTCCTGAAATGCGAAGACTCAAGTAAGACATCATGCTGCATGAGGTTCTGCCATGTAAACTTGTGGCAACCCGAGGACTGTGATCCCTTTGGGCTGGAACCCATACCACCCTACTTTCTCAAGCTCTGTAATAAAGGGCATAAAGAACTATCGTACTTGGCTCAGCGCCTGTAGCACAGTGGTTATGGCGCCAGTCACATACACTGAGGGTGGCAAGTTCAAACCCTGCCCAGCTAAACAACCGCAACATATATAAATAACCGGGAGTTGTGGCGGGCGCCTGTAGTTCAGCTACTCGGGAGGCTGAGGCAAGAGAATCACTTCAGCCCAAGAGTTTGAGATTGCTGTGAGCTGGGACGCCATAGCACTCTACGGAGAGCTACATAGTGAGACGATGTCTCAAAAAAAAAAAAAAAAGAACTGTCCTACTGGTCCCATATTTTGGGGTGTCATTACACTGCTTTTTTCCCTCCGGGGTACAAATACATAACTGGTGTGGGCGTGGGGGGCACCTTTTCACGTAATAGAAAATGAAGGGGCCGCTTTATGAGAAGCGGGTCGATCTGGGGCTGGTGGCTCGGGTCGCAGGATAGCGGTGGTCTTGTTTGCGCCTGTTGATGATGTCGCGGCGCCCTAAGGAGGGATTGGCTAAGGCTGGTGACTGCTTGATGAGATATCACTCTCCCAGGAACTAGGCGGAAGTCTGGAGGACTCCGAGGGGCGGAGGCGGGAGAGGCAAGGCTGCGATGAGTGGTCTCGGCAGACTCTTCGGGAAGGGTGAGCCTGGGCGGGACTGGTCCGCCAGGAGGTGCTAGCCGAGCGGGGTGGGAGAGGAGACCGTGGCGACACTCAGCCTGAGCGCGGCGCCGGGACGGGGAAGAGACCCAGGAGACAGGCTGACCCGAAAGCAGATGAGATGGCGGAGCAAGGCTCATCTCCGGTCCAGAGGCCTGCCTTGTCAGGGCGCCTTCCTCCCGTCTGCCGCCTTTCCCTGCTCCCTGAGGGAAGAGCTCGAGGTCTGGGAGGGGACATGAGTGAAAGGCTTGGCGACCGTGCTGGCTCCCACTGTTAAGGCGTGGGGACGAGTTTCCTGCTCTCTTCATCCAGTCCTTTCCAAAACTTTGTTCTACTTTGTGCTGGGCAAGAGGGATCTAAGGTGAAGAAGAAAGACTGCCTTCTTAAAACTCATGTTTGGTGGGGAAAGACAAGCAAAATCAGGCCTTTACAGTATGGTCTAGCAACTCAATGACGGATTTACTCCTGAAAAGCCAGAGAAACACAGGAGTAGGCATTGGGAGTGGTGACCAAGAAGGCTAGTGGTTTGCCAGGTGGAGAACTGAGGTAATCCGGAAGCAGCAACAGCCTATGAGAAACAGAGGCAGGCAAAAGTATGTGTATTTAGGGCAAAGAGAAGTTCTGACTGCCCTGTTGTGTGTGTTAGGAGGAGGGAAGTATGGATAGAAAGGTAAACAAGAGCCAGATGGTGAAGGACCTTGTTCATTTCCCTGAAAAGTTTTGCATTTTATCCTGTGGGCAATAAAGAGTATAGAAGGATTTTAAGCAGGCAAAGGTCGTTAGATTTTTATTTGGAAAAATGACTGAATATAGAAGATGCAGAGAGAAATTGAGATCTGATTTTTTTTTCTCCAGCTCCCTGTACTTCTTTCAATTTGATCCTGTGGAGTCAAAACCTTGAACATTTCCTAAGACAGCAAATAGAACAGTGATTATCAAAAGTGACTGGAAATTGCTGGGTGCGATGGCTCACACCTGTAATCCTAGCATTCTGGGAGGCTGAGGTGGGAGGATTTTTGAGAGCAGTCTGAGCAAGAGTGAGACTCTGTCTCTCCTAAAAATAGAAAACTAGCTGGGCATTGTGCAGGGCATCTATACTCCTGGCTACAGAAGCCTGAGGCAGGAGGATTTCTTGAATGCTTAAACCCAGGAGTTTGAAGTTGCTATGAGTTAGGCTGACATCATGGCCCTCTGGCCTGGGTGGCAGAGACTCTGTCTAAAAAAAAAGAAAAAGAAAAAAAATTGACTGTAAATGACTTGAAAGACAGTTGGAATGGTGAAAAGAATTTTGGCTTGGGATGTCATACTGCCACATTTCAATTCCCACACATTCTCTTACTAGTTGTGGTTTTTAACATCTTTGTGCCTGTTTTCACATTTGTAAAGTGAAGATAGTACATTAATTATAAAGAATTAATCAGGAATTAGCAATAACACAGTGAAGTGCCTAGCACACACTATGTACTCAGTGATTGGCAGCTAATATTTTTCCTTCACACAATATGGGCCTGCTCCATTGAACTCTTCAGGGAAGAAGGAGAAGGGGCCAACCCCTGAAGAAGCAATACAGAAACTAAAGGAGACGGAGAAGATACTGATCAAGAAACAGGAGTTTCTGGAGCAGAAGATTCAGCAGGAGCTACAAATGGCCAAGAAGCATGGGACTAAAAATAAGAGAGGTAATGAGGGAAAGGAGCTGATGGGAGGGTCAAGATGGGAAGCAGGTGTTTCTGACTCTGATATTCAGAGTGTGAGCTGGGACAGCTGCCCTACAGGCTTTGCGGAGAAAGAAAAGATTGGAACAGCAGCTGGCACAAACTGATGGGACATTATCCACCCTGGAGTTTCAACGTGAGGCCATTGAGAATGCCACCACCAATGCAGAAGTCCTTCGTACCATGGAGCTTGCTGCTCGAGGCATGAAGAAGGCCTACCAGGACATGTGGGTATGGGGGGAGGGACCCAGGCAGTGGGAAGCGTGGCCTGGTATTACATGTTGAATTTTAAGAGGCTCTCAGAATGTGAATTTATAGTATAGATACTTGTAGTGGGTAGATCTCTGTCAGCATCCTTGCTTCCTATAATTTTCTTTTGCTGCCTGGAGCATTCAAGGTAGCAAAGATAATTTCTCTAATTCTTTTTTTTTTTTTTTTGCAACAGAGTCTCAAACTGTCATCCTGGGTAGAGTGCCATGGTGTCAGAGCTCAACAACCTCTAACTCTTGGACTCAAGCAATCTCCTTGCCTCAGTTTTTCTATTTTTAGTAGAGACAGGGTCTTGATCTTGCTCAGGCTGGTCTCAAACTCATGAGCTCAAGCAATCCACCTGCCTCTGCCTCCCAGAGTGCTAGGATTACAGATGTGAGCTACCGTGCCTGGCGATTTCTCTAATTCTTAAAGACCTTTGGGGAAGGAAATACAACCTATCCTCTCCAGTGTGGCTTCTTGCTACTTTTTAGCCCAGACTTGCCTCTTTATAATTTTCTAGGGATCTCTTCTGCCTGATAGCCATAGACTTATCAGTGTGAGGCCACAAGGCAGGCAGGAGGAATTTCATTTGTATGAGACAAGAAAGAGGGGTTGTTGCCTGATTTCTTGGCTGTGTATCTTGTCCTCAGGGACATTGACAAGGTAGATGAACTGATGGCTGACATCACAGAACAACAGGAGGTGGCCCAGCAGATCTCAGATGCCATTTCTCGGCCTGTGGGCTTTGGAGATGATGTGGATGAGGTGATTGGGGATGCGGGGCCAGGGAATATTGGAGGAAGCATGGGACTGTGCAGAAGAAACACCCAAGAGAGGAACTCCCAAAGCAGTATGTTTTTGTACATGAAGTTTGCTTTCTTCATCTTGAACAGTCTTATCCTATATCCAGGATGAACTGTTGGAGGAGCTAGAGGAACTGGAGCAAGAGGAACTGGCCCGAGAGTTGTTAAATGTGGGCGACAAGGAGCAAGAACCCCCAGTCAGATTGCCAAGCGTACCCTCTACACATCTGCCTACAGGGCCAGGTATGTGGGCTTCTGTTGTCTCAAGGACTTGACAGGGTGGGAGAGTTATGGGGAAAGGTTATTCCTCATCCATCCTGCCTCAGAGAAGCCAGGCAGAGAAGGCTGCTGCTGCAGTTGTGCAGGTTGTTGACTGCATTAAGGGGACACCGCTAGAAGGGAATGGGGACTGAAATCCAGCCTGTGCCCCACTCAGCAAGCTGTGTACCCTGGTTTAAGGCTGCAAATGCTGGGAACAAGAACCAACTTTATTCTAATTTGTATAAGGTATTGTGGGAATGAGCAGGAGCCCAGCAAGCAGAAGGACCACATCTTTAGGTTCTTTGTTGCAGAGAGAATTCAGCAGGCTCTGAGTGTCACAGCAGGGAATGATTGGGAGTTGCTGAGGCTTTAACATTGCTTCTTTCTCTCCCTGGGTATCCTTGTTCCCGAAGCTCCCAAAGCTGATGAAGATGAAGAAGCACTAAAGCAGTTGGCTGAGTGGGTATCCTGATGAGTCTGAGCTAGTCGTCTTAATGCTGCCTTTCTTGGCCTCTTTTCCTTAAGTGCCAAGTGCTAAGCTAAAGGAAGCTTTGTGGGAAGGTCCTGCTGAAGGTAGTGATGTGACCCTGTTTGAGAAAGGGGTTTGTTGCCCTCTTCAACCCTGGCTGCAACTCTGAAGAATGTTAACTGTAAAAGGAGCCCTTGGGCTCCCTTCTCTTTGATAGCACTTTTACTGCCCATGTTCTCAATAAAATTGGGCAGTGGAACCCTGGTGTCTATACTGCTTTGTCTTCCCCTGAAACTCTTCTGGCCTGTGGGGCTTTGTTTCAAGCAATGAATAATAATGTGAGTGATGAAGGGGAGTTGGAACATAAGTGGGCATTTCCAATATCTTAACCAATGTTCCAGGCAGACACAGTTTCATCCTTCATGTCGGTTTGCCCAGTGCTGAGGTTGAAGACAAACTGCTATTATTATTTATCTTACAACCATGTGGAGCCCTCATCCCTCTCTCCTAGTCGTGCCTCTGCCTCATGCCTTGCAAAACACATTTTCAATGATAGGGAGGGAGTATTGAGAGATGGAAGAAGAGGATAGTTTTCCTTTATCCTGTAGTTAATAGTTTTCACCACTAGAAGGCTTGGTTTGTCATTTCTGTGTCTGGGAGC